GAGGGGCCAGCACCACCCAGCACCTCGCTGCCTGCCTGCCCGGACCTCCCGCCCAGGCCAGACCCCACTCCCAACCCCACCTCTGCTGGGGGAGCTGCGCTGGTGACCATTCACCCTCCATTCACTCAGGACAATCGACAATTGCATTGGATGGTGGGAGGGGGAAGGGAGCCCAGACACGCTCACTCCCAAGGGGCCTGCTGTTTTAGGACCTGCCGGGGGTGGGGGGGTGAGGGGAGCTGACTGGGGTCCCTGCTTGAGGCTGGGCCTGAGGGAGGAGGGCAGTGGGGAGCAGAGGACAGTGGGGAACGGAGGCCAGAAGACGGGTGGACACCCTCACAGGGGACTTGAGGCTCTTTCTCGGCAGAGGGGCTGGCTGGGCGGGTGGGGGCACCCCCTGCAGGGAGTCACTTAGGGGCTCAGCTGAGCTGGGGTGACAACGTGAAGTGGCCCAGGGAGGACTCTGCTGGCCTTGAAAGGAGAACCAGAGGCTGAGGGACAGTGGCCAGTGGGTTCCTGCTCGAGAGGCCTGGGCGGCTGGGCCGGCCTGGGGCAGTGGGGGTCTGGATGCGTCTGTGGCCCTGGAGCCGGGCCTGCGGCAGCCCAGTCATCACAGACTGAGGAGTGAGGAGTGGGCCCATGGCACCCCCAGGGCGGGAGGCGCTGGCCCCAGTCCCCACAGGCCCCTGTCCCTGCAGCCCGGGTCTCCCTCCCTCCCACCACGTAAGCACCACCCAGATGCTGACAACAGACATCACCGGGGCCTGGGCAGCGCTGCGGGCTGCGGGCTCTGCTTTGCCTTGACATCACGGGGCCTGGGCTGCGGGCTGCGGGCTCTGCTTTGCCTCAGCCGTTTCCTCTCCCCCAGGAGCTGCCCACCCAGCTCCAGCCGGAGGCTTTCACGGGGAGGGGAGCCGGGCCCACTGGGTCGGGTCCCTGCGAGGACTTCCAGCAGGACTGGGCCCTCGCAGGAGCAGACGGGCCTGTGGGCCACATGGGGGTTGTGGGGAGGCCTCCTCTGGTCCCCATGCAGGGGGCACAGGGGGGAGGCAGCTACCAAAGAAAAGGGAAGAATGAGTCACAGAGAAGCAGGGGCCCACGGTCTCCAGGCAGAGGTGACCTCCCTCCCCAGCCTCCGCAGGGAGGGGCTGAGTGGGGAGGGGGCAGCTCCCAGCTCCCTGCCTGGGGTGCGGCCCAGCAGGCCCCCAGCTGAAGGCCCATGTCCTGGATTCCCTGCTGAGGTTGGGGGGCCTCCTCCCTGGGCAGCAGGGAGGGCCTGCAGGCCAAGGCTCAGGGAGGAGCCTGTGGGGGCGGCTGGGCTGGAAGGCAGCGGTGAGGAATGAGATTCCCCTCCCAGCCTTGAGTTGGGGTCTTGGGGCCCCATGAATTATTTCTCTAAGGAAAACACCGTTGCCTGGTCTCCGGTTCACTTCCGGACCCTCCCGTCACTTTAAATCAACACTGAAGGCAGAGTTTGCCCGGACCTTCACCCTGCAGGCTTGTTGTCGGGGGTGGGGGAGAGGAGGGGGCATCCCCACTGGTGGAGGGGGGGTGGCCAAGCCAGCTCCCCACTTCTGTCTCCCCTGAAGCCCCCGCAGGGGAAGAGTGGGGCGCAGACCGCACGGGGCCGGACGGCATCGTAGCCCATTCTCTCACTGCCCAGCTCGCAGCCCGACCCCTCAGCACCAACCCTGCACG